ATCAAACTAAAAAGCTTCTACACAGCAAAGGAAACCACTAACAAAATGAAAAGGCAACCTATTAAATGAGAAAAAATATTTACAAATCATATATCTGATAAGGGGCCAATATCCAAAATATATAAAGAACTCATACAACTTAAAAGCAAAAAAATAAACAATCTGATTAAAAAATAGACAGAGAATCTGAACATGCATTTTTCCAAAATCATACAGGCCAACGGGTACATGAAAAGATGCTCAATACCACTACTTATCAGGGAAATGGAAATCAAAACCACAATGAGATATCACCTGACACCTGTTAGAATGGATAGTATCAAAAAGACAAGAAATAACAAGTATTGGCAAGGATGTGGAGAAAAGGGAACACTTGTGTACTGTTGGTGGGAATGTAAATTGGTACAGCCACTGTGAAAAACAGTATGGAGGTTCCTCAAAAAATTAAAAATAGAACTACCATATGATCCAGATATTTTACTTCTGGGTATTTACCGAAAAGGAAATACTAACACGAAAGAGAGAGAGAGAGAGAAAAAGAAAGAAAGAAGAAAGAAAAAAAGAAAAGAAAGAAAGAAAGAAAGAAAGAAAGAAAGAAAGAAAGAAAGAAAGAAAGAAAAAGAAAGAACTTGAAAAGATATGAACGGCCATGTTCACTGCAGCATTATTTATAAAGCCAAGACATGGAAACAATCTATGTGTCCATCAACGGATGAATGGATAAAGAAAATGTGGTACACACATGCACACATACAAATATCATTGAGCCATAAAAAAAGAAAGAAATCTTGTCATTTGTGACAACATGGATGGAACTTGAGGGCATTATGCTAAGTGAAGTAAGTCAAACAGAGAAGACAAATACCATATGATCTCACTTCTAAGCGCAATCTTAAAAGAAAAAAATTAATTAAAAAAAACCAAGCTTCATAGGTACAGAGAACAGATGGTGGTTGCCAGAGGTGGGGGTGAGGGTGGGCAAAACAGGTGAGGGAGTCAAAAGGTACAAGCTTCCAGTTTTAAAATAAGTAAGTCCTGGGGATATAATGTACAGTATGGGGACTATGGTTAATAATACTGTATTATATTTTTGAAAGTTGCTAAAAGAGTAAATCTTAAAAGTTCTCATGATAAGGAAAAAAAATTCTATAATTATGTGTGGTGATGGATGTTAACTAGACTTATTGGGGTGATTATTTCACAATATACACAAATATCAAATCATTATGTTATATATCTAAAACTAATATGTTTGTCAATTATACCTCAATAAAAATATATATAAATAAAATTCTACAAGTTACTTTAAAATTTACAGGAAGCAGAGGAGAAATAAGATGTCCACTTACAAATTTAGTCAATTGTGCACGTGAGGAATCACGTTGCCATCACTGCGACCTCCCCAAATCCACCATCCATGTTAGCACCTATGAATAGCTACTTAATCAGTAGGATAAAGAACTCTCTCAATAATGTGGAGAGATCCATAGTTATTACCAAAAGCTGTATGGGGCAGAACTGAAAGGATGAAAAGAAAAGAAGAAAGAAGAAAGGGAATGACCAAGTTGAATTTGGGGGAGTGGGTAGGGTTGCTACACAGCGATTCCCTAGGCTAACACTCCTCTTCCAAAACTAGGGAGACTTTTGATTCAGAGATATGGACTCTTGGTCCACCATAAAATGTGCTTGCTACTCATTAGCTCTTAGGTTACCTACTCTAGGAAAAGCAAAAGCCTGGTATCTTTTGACTTTTTGCATATGTAAAACAGCAGGTCAAATGTATCCTGGATCTCTCTCATCCTTGAGAATCACAGAGAGTTAATGGTATGTGTCCTGGGAAATGGAGGGCTTAGCTCAGTTAGAAGCACCATGCCCATCACTTATGACAGTATTTTTTGCCCTTACCTTCTCTGGAGTCCCAATATGTGGCTTCAAATAAAGATTACTATAAAAGGGGAGGGGGGAGAGTGTTGGAAATCCCTGACCTCCATTTTAGTGGAATCTCTTCATCCTTTAGAAGCAAATATTCTTTCTATTCTCTTAAGCTCACTTGGAGGGAATGTCCTCTAAAAAAAGAAATTGACTATCCCACACTCACAAAACATGGGTGCACTATCTTGTCATTAGGACCTGAGTATCACTCCAAAATAATGACATTGCCAATGTATTTTCTCTTTTCAAGGCAATTTGAATACTATCCAATTCAATTATTGAAACTATTTTCTGGGCATGTCAAAATAAAAAATATCATGTTTCAAGAGCCTTAATTTTTAAAATAGGCTCAGGGTGCCAGGGTGGCTCAGTAAATTAAGCATCTAACTCTTGATTTTTGCTCAGGTCAGGATCTCAGGGTCAGGAGATCGAGCCCTGCATCAGGCTGCACTCTGAACACAGAGCCTGCTTAGGATTTCCTCCCTCCCTCTCCCACTGCCCCTCCCCCCAACCCCATTCACGTACTCTCCCTCTCTAGAATAAAGAAATAAATCTTTTATAAATAAATAAACAAACAAATAGATAAATAAAAATACCCACTCTCCTTGCAGTTTAGTTCTGTCCAAGTTTTCCAACATAGGAAGAAGTTCAGAAACGCTCAGTTTCTCTGCTACAAATGGATTTGCTAGGTCACCCAATGACTTCCCCATCCTGGGGGAACTACCTAACCAATGAACAAACAAAATCAAAACAAAACAGAAAACTAGACCCATACAAACTCAGACTTCGAATATGCAGTCATATTTTGTTCTACCTCCTTTTCTAGCTTTCTCTCACTCTGCTGCTTGTCCAGCACACAAATGACCAGTCTTATCATGCATTCTGTTTGGTCTATAATAAACATGCAGCGAATTGCCTATGTTTGATGATCTAAATGACAACAAAGATCTAATACATTCATTTCAAAATAAACAATTCCAAGTTTTTCGTTTACCCAAAACAGAGATCAGCAGCCTAATTTAAAACTAAGCAAACTGCATTTTTTTCCCCTCTAAAATTACAGTACAGGACCTAGTGCTAAAACCTTTGTTTACCTACAAAATAAAGTATTAACTGTGATCTAGAGTACCTTCAGAATGTTGATTCAACTTTTTACAAGTGTAATATTCACAGTATTTTTTAACCATGGTTTTCAAAAACTTTGGGGAAGCAAGTATTTGCTTTTGACTTTTCTCCTGTTTAATCCTCCACTGTAGACCATATCCCTTGCTACTGTATCTATCTCACCCTAGTGGGTAGAACTCTCAGTCCCCATCACTGAATGGAACAGTGTGGCTCCCTAGTGCAAATTTCCTGAGAGCCTCTTCCCTGAGCATGTGCCAAGAATCAAATCTTGGCCACTTAGTGCTCTGTGCTCCACATGTGAGCTCACGGCATGTTGAGCAACCGTGCTAACTGAGATGGATAGCCCTGTCAAACAGGAAGCTGGCACACCAGGATGCAAGCAGTGGGATACAATGACCTTTACATTCAGAAAAAAAATATCCCTAAAATGGCATGAAAAGTTTATGGGGGGGAGGAGGAGGGATTCTTTTATTTCATTTAGGCACATAGCATAAAATAAAAGCAATGGTGCCTAGTATGCAATTTGCTCGGGATCAAATCTTGAATCCCTTACACAAGAAAGAAAGTCGTCAGAGAAAGGAAATGAATCATCCTTTATCACACTGCTTTGAAAGCAGTGGACTCGACAATTCAGCTGTTATTACTGCACCCGAAAGGCCAAGCGCTCGGATTCAGACAGCACTTGGACTCATAATGATCCATGGGGTTACTACCTGCCCTGGGAAAACATTCTTGACCTCTGGTTTCAGGTGGGTTGCCTTCTTGGTAGAATTAAAATCTAATTTAAATACTTAAACATTTTTAAACAGCGATGATCTGCTTACAGAATCAGAGTCAAGGGCTTGGATATTAAATCCCATGTCCTTGGTCGCCATATTTGTAACTTTGTATATATTGCTTAATCTCTCATAGTTTTCTTATCTGAATAAATGGAGGCTCTGACTGACCGTTCCTAGGCATTATATGAAGAGGGACTCATAAAAAAAGTTGCAAAAATCTGTGGCACATATACCAATGTTAAGTAAGAATAATAATATAGAAAATTAATGTATAAAACAAGACCTGGAAGTTACATATGTCTCTCCTTTGGTTATAACACATTATCATAAATTGTACAATTCAATCATTTCAGCTGAAATACAGTAACAATCATTCCACTGGGTCAATTTTTTTTTTCATTTTTCAAGGTTTGGGGGATATTTTTATGTTATTTGTTTTGTCAATTCTTTGCCATGAAAGAACAATGGGCTACGCTTCAGAGTGAAGCAACACAAGCTCACAACGGGCTCGCGAGTGCTGTACAATACACACGGAAATAACGATGCAATTTTAATTTTTAATTAAATAGATTAAATGAATTGATCACAAAAACACTGAGATTTTTGTTGTTGTTGTTGTTTTGTTTTGTTTTTTTGTTTTTGTTTTACTGAATGGACAACCCTAAAACTACAGAGCAATTTTCAAAGATACAAAAGTTTGGTAAAATGCATCCATTTTTTTTTATATTTAATTAAAAGCTGATTGTAAAGTGCAGAAGCTGCAGGCCTAAAAGCAATAAATAAATTTAGAAAATTGAAAGCTTATAAATCATGTACGGAAGTTTGGATAAGTTAGGATCAAACATCTCGGCACTCTGAGAGCCCCACTTTAGGGACTCAGAGAAAGTACCAGAGCTATCAATGCCAACAAAACGAAGAGGGTCACTTTAAAATGCAAGTTTATTCTGGAGGCTCTAGAGGTGCTGCCGGTGAAATTCTTCCCAAAGCAACCAGAAAACAAGTCACTGCAAGAGACCCTCTGCTATCTGCTGCTCGGAAAAGATGTTAGACCTGACCATTCTCCTCCAACCCTTGTTTGGAGAATTATTTCAGGAAACACATTCTTCCTCAAATCATGACACACAGAGGCGTGAGGCGGGGAGAGGAGCGGACACACAGTCCTACCTTGCGCCTGAGCTGCAGAGCTGTGGGAGTACCCCAGGGCCAGGAGCGCGGTCTCCACCAGCTGGCTAAAAAGCACATCTTTTCGAACCAGAACGAACTCTGCATGTTCTTCTCTGTTGTCATATTCAAGAGAGCCATCCAACTGCTCCACCACACAAAAGACAGGAATCATCAAACCTGAAGAGACAAAATTCAAGAGCAAAACACAAACATTACAAAGCAAATCTCAGTCACCGTGATGAGAAGGGAAGAGGCAGTTATAAAAGTTACTCATCTGTGATCGACAATGGTTTCGATTAAACAAGCCTCTTAGTTGGATAGGCCTAATGGGAAAGCTGTGGATTTTTTTTCCCCTTCCTTATTACTATCAGACTGCAGCAGAATCGCCCTGGGCAAAGGCAGAAGCCCTCAGATTCCAGTCATTAAAATGTGGAGTGTGCCCATCAGAGGTGTCTTGCCTGAGACCCTAACTCCAGAGCTGCCACAAAGCTGAGGTTAAGGTGACCTTCCAGACCCTCATAACCTTCATGTCTATGGTTTTATCATTAACTACTAATCGGGACTAGTATTTCCAGATCAGATCTGCTTTTGTCTGGAAATGCTGTAAGAAACCTAGTAGGGAGGCATATTTGATTTCGGGGCCTAAGCTATCAAGTGACTATGTCTAAGAAAGCCAATAGGAATTTTTTTATTTTTTAACAGTCCCTCTTGTATCTTTTATCTAAGTCCCAGCAAATAGGTCATCAATTAGTCTGCAAATATTCTGCTCACGAAAATCTTAACTGACATTTAACTTATGTCAAAACACGCATCCAAATGTAAAACTTTGTCTTTTTTTTAATTATTATTTTACATATTAACACCAGTTACCACTATAAAGGGAATTATCTCTTCTTGTGTTTTCAGAGAAAAGAAGTAAACTACCCTAAAGGATAAAGCAAATTAGTCTAGTTGAAAATCTGTTGAAATCTGTTGTCACTGAAATATTTCTCTGCTTTGTATCAAAGTGTGAAAAGCTAAAAAATGTTTAATTCGCCAAAGATTTTTTTATAAACTGTTTTTTATTTTTAAAAAAGTCATACAGGCATTTAAATCTAAACATAGCCAAGGCATAAGAAGATCAAAGTTTTACCAACATACAAGTAATAAACACGGACTCTGCCCCATGTAATTCACACAAATTAGTATGTTATGGAATAGATCTGCTCTGGGTCTTCTGTCTTCGTGCAAGAAAACCAAAAGTTATGAAGGACAGGTGGGCAAGCTGAGAGATGGGGGGAGGTGGACAATTAGTTGGTCATTGCTGAAGGCACTTTACAATAAAAATAAGACCTCTGTGTAAATGACCCATGGGAGTTCTGCCTGTGAGACACAGACTACACAGTTTTTCTAAAAGCCCCTCCCCTCTGCCTAGACCCTAGAAGCCACCTGACTCACTCTGATCTGGAAAGCAGAGAGTGGGAGCAGACACCCTGCAAACTACCAGGTCACAGATGCAGATTTTTGTTCTAAAGATAATACAATGGTGCAACTGGTTCCCATGTGCTAATTATTATTATTAAAGATAGTAAGTATAGGGTGTAATTATTAAATGTAATCATTATTAACAATAATAATACTCCTTAAGAATTGTTATCATTAAGGATCATGGTAATTATTATTAAGCCAGTACAACAGTCTAACAAGCCACACCATACCATTCCTGGGACAACTACTGACTCCATGTTCACTCTCAAGAACAATAAGGCAGCATTATTGTTTGTAGAAAATACACTACCTATGGTACAGATTTATAGAAAATAGGAAATAAGGGTGGAGCAGACTGATTGTTTTAGACAAACAAGGAAATTTAGCCCGGCCACATGGTGCCTTATAAAATATTTTTTAGAATTGTGACCAGTACTAGTCTATCAAACACTTACTTATTTATGCCCAATTTATTCCCAAATGTAGGTAAGACATGAAATGAACACTATAAATTACACTGCCTCCAAATTATCTTTGTGCTCATTCATGTATCCAATTTTTATTCCCTGAACACCTATTGTGTACCAGGTATCCCCTGTGGCTTCAGAGATACAAGTAAGAACAAGTCTGATGTGGCTCCTGCCCTCAATGCTGTTGAAGGTGCTGTAAAATCTTCCTAAGCAAGCATAATGGCATTTTATAGGACCTATCCATCAGAGTCCTTACCAGCAGGGAATAGCCCCCATTTAGACCTTTTAACTCTTACATACTGGTATATGATCTTTGTCCAAGGAAGCAGGTTGATTTCTACTTCTAATGATTTCAGCGTATGCACACATAGGGCCATGTAGTCAATGGTGCCATAAGCCACTTCACCACTAATACCTATGTGTACATAAGTTTCAATGCTGAAAATCCATGTGCAGTTCCTAATGTCAACATCTGAGTGTCACACATCTGGGAATCACAGATAAGGCCTTTCAATGAATCCAGTTGCCTCCATAAGCTATCATGTATCCATTACTTAGGAACCATAAATCTTTCCCAAGTCTATAGTCAACTAAAAAAAAAACCCTAAAACCCTATTAATTTTTTAAAATAGTAACAAATAAATATAGCATGAATAATTTTTAAAAATCAAAGAAAGAAAGAAAAAAGTGGCAGTGGATAAAAAGATAGGGAGAGTATTTGAAAAGCAATTCAAAAAATAATCAGTGAGTGAGATATGAAATACAACATTAAAGCACAAGGGTCTATACCATTCAGGAACTTATGTTTTGAAAGTGTCAGTTATCAAAATATTTCCTAAACATTTTAGTCCAGTGATTAAAGAAAGCAATCGTTATCTGACATGAGAACAATAACTCCTTCCAGTCAAAAAGCAAGCACCGATCCTTCACAGGCATCACCTACTTAGAAAGAAAAGAAAAGAAAAAAAGAAAAGGAAAGGCAAGGCAAGGCAGAGAAAAGAAAAGAAAGGAAAAGAAAAGGATTTTGAAGTCATTTATAAAATAAAATAATATTAACCAGAAGCGTATGACAACAGAATTTACTCTGAAAGCATATATATATGAGCTACTAAAAACAAAGAGATTATATAAAGAAAAATGTACCTTTTTACTAGAATTTCATGGATCAAATTTCAATTATGAAATTTTTACAGTGAAACACAATTTTTACAAAAGAAGAGGAAAAATAGGTGTGATTACTAGTAACAACAGCAAGAGAAATGAAAAATGGTAAAACAGTCCAGTTGGGGTCAAGTGTGAGGAAGAAGAAAATTAAGGCATAGGTTTTAAAAACTTAAAAACAGCAAATCCCTGGCAAAGAAAACTATAAAAGGATGAGTAGGAATATATATCAAAAAAAAGGCATTCCATTTGGTACCCCGTCCCCACTCTCTCCAGGCAAAAAAGAAAAAGAAGGAAGGAAGGAAGGAAGGAAGGAAGGAAGGAAGAAAGAAAGAAAGAAAAAAGAAAGAAAGAAAGAAAAAAGAAAGAAAGAGAAAGAAAGAAAAAAGTGGCAGTGGATAAAAAGATAGGGAGAGTATTTGAAAAGCAATTCAAAAAATAAGAATGGGAAGAATTAAAAGCTAAGTTCCAATAAAAGAATAACAATGTAAAAATGAAATGTATTTATACAACAAAATTTACAAATGATCAAGAAAAAAAAGAAACTCTTATTCTAGCCCTGTATCTGGAACTTATGGCATTATTTTTCTTTTATTGTAGCACAGACCCATTTCCAGATGATCAAGTAGGGAACTTTGAACCTTTTGATTATAAGCCTCACTAAGCCTTCTACAATTGTGGCAGGTTAAGCAGGTAGTTTCGTCTAAGGGACAGGCACACAGTCCCAGCCATTTGCTAAGAATTAAGAGTTGTTCTGACAATTGGGATGAATGGTGAATTCTGTTGTCACTGAGGCAAAATAAGCAGGAGATTCCTTCCACTAGAAAAATGCATTTCCCAACTGTCATTAGTTCCAATGCTCAAACTGTCATTTTCATTGTGACATTATTTCTGAAAAAGTGTGTATGATTATAAAGGCAACCTAACCTTCACCACGGCGGCCATGGGAATACAGACAAATGGGAGATGGTCAAATGTGGTGGTGACTAGCTCTGCGTAAGGAGGCAGGCAACTCTTGGATCAAATCCTGGCATTGTCATTCTTTACCTGTTGTAGTGAGCTCGGGTAATTTATTTGACCTCTCTGAGGCTCAAATTCCTCCCAGGTAAGATGCAAATAATAATATCTACATCACAGAGTTGCTGTGAGGATTAAACACTGTGAAATAGTTGTCTGGCAGCTCTCAAACAATGGAACCTATTTGTTTTTCTTTTTTTCAAAATCAGTATTAATACCATTAATTAATACCATTAATACAGAGGAAAATAAGGAATCAATAATTTTTTTCAGGGTCCATAATCAATGCTCATGAAACTTACTAAAAAGCTTTTCTTCAGAATAAAAATGATACTCATAATCATTGAATTACTTAAGATGTTCAATGTGCCCCAAGCAAAAGGGTGAAAGTATTAAAAATACATTTTATACTCTAAAACTGCTTGCCCACTACAGTAGCTATTAGCCACATGTGGCAACTAAACGCTTGAAATGTGACTAGTCCTGAATTGAGATGTGCTGTAAGTGTAAAATACACACTCAATTTCAATGATTTAATAGCAAAAAACAAATAAATATAGCATGAATAATTTTTAAAAATCAACTGCAGGTAGAAATATCTTGGATGCACTGAGTTAAATAAAATATATTATCAAAATTAATTTCACCTGTTTAACTTCTTTTAAACGAAGCTACTAGAAAATTTAAAATTATACACATGGCCCATATTATATTTCTAGGAGAGCTGCTCTAAGCAACCTGCTGACACCAACATGTACAATGGTTTTCCTGACACAGGATAAAGTCATCGCAAGCTGATAACTAAGACAATTGTGCAATTGTCTTGAGCATTTCTTGGATGCCCCTCAAGTTATCTTTCCTCTGTGTTCCTGATCTTAGGAGACTTGAGGACAGATGTACTATTGGTTAAACTCCAAAATCTAACGTGACATCTCTGCATCATCAAGCAAAGCGTAGGCCATTGTTTTATTCCTAACCGTATTAATCCAACTTCTTTAATAAGGGAAAGGTTTTTCCCCCCTTCCCCTCATTTTAAAGAACAGTTTTCAGGAAATGCCACAA